TCATTTGTTGTTTCATTTGTTGTTTTCTTTGTGTTTTAGAATTGTGTGTTTTTGTCGTATATTTTGTAGATTATACTTTCAATTAATCGTTTATGTTTTCTTATTCATACTTACTAATGTGTTTATGTTCAGTCTTAAAGTCATTTTTGATCATTTATTTTTACATTTTTATATCGATATTATGTGTAGTGGTAAATAATGAAAATATTGTTCAAAATATTATGTGCTGAAATTCTTTTTGCAATTGATCATGTGCTGTTTTGATATTGAACATTTTACTTATTTGTTATTGTTCATTCATGAAACTCTTTATGATCATTTATAATTGTATATTGTGTAGTGGAAAAAAATGATGATATTATGTATTTAGAAGCAGAACAGTCTGAATTAAAGGATAAAGAATTTAAATCTGAAGATGAAGCTTTCGAAGCGTATAATGAATATGCTTTTAGGAAAGGTTTTGGAATTCGAATTGGGAAGAGTAAGAGAAGAAGAGATGATTCTTTTTTGATGAAAAGATTTGTTTGTTGTAATGAGGGATTCAAAGATAATAAGTGTAAGAATAAAAGGATTTATGAGAAGTTGGATCATCGAACTGGTTGTTTAGCTTTTGTGCAGTTTCATATTGATCATTTAGGGGTCTATACGTGTACAAGACATGAAATGGTTCATAATCATGCTATGATTCCTCCTGAAAAAAGGCATTTGATAAGGTCTCAAAGAGGAGCAGCTTCTTTTCATTTCAACAATGAAATTGAGTGGAGTCAAAGTTACTGATTCTTTGAGGGTTCTAAAGAAAGAGGTTGGGGAATCTCCTAATCTTTGTTTTACTGCTTCTGATGCTTATAATGCATTGTCATCTGAAAAAGCTGCCCAAATTGAAGGATGTGATAGTAACCAATTGATTAAATATTTTGCTAAGAGACATGTGGATGAGGCAGATTTTTATTATGATTTTGAACAAGATGATAGTGGTGCTTTAGTTAGTTTTTTTTTGGCGTGATGGTAGGATGATGAAAGATTATCATTACTTTGGAGATTTGTTGGTTTTTGATACAACTTATAGAACTAATAAATATGGAATGATATGTGCTCCATTTGTTGGGATGAACCATCATGGTAACAACGTCATGTTTGGTATGGGTTTTATTCTTAATGAGCGCACCAAGTCTTTTGATTGGTTGTTTGATACATTTTTGCTCTCAATGGGGAGGAAAAGTCCCATTACAATTATGACTGATCAAGCACAAGCGATTGCAGCGGGTATAAGAAACATTTTTCCTTCAACTGTTCATCATCGTTTATGTGTATGGCATCTTGAACAAAATTCTAAGAAACACATTGGAGCATTGAGAGCTTTGGAAGGCTTTACAGATTTGTTTGGATATCTTTTGAAGTATTGTGAAACTCCTGCTGAATTTGAATATTTCTGGAAAAGGTAAATTATTGTTTTTTGTATTTATTTTTTATTTTTATTATGTGATATATTTGATTATTATGTGATATATATATGAACATTTAGTGTTTTACATATGATCTTACAATTTACTTTGTTATGTATGTTATCATAATATTATTAGTGTCCATATTGTTTATGATCATTATTCTTTATACAAATGTACATATTTTAATTTATATTTTGTTCATTTTTAAATTAATATATGATCATTTCTGTTATACAGGATGTGTGATAAATACAAATGTGAAAATGATGATTGGTTATGTGATTTGTATAAAATAAAGGAAATGTGGTGTCCTTCTTATTCTAAGAAGTATTGGTCTGGTGGTATATTGTCTTCTCAACGTAGTGAAACTACTAATAAGTCAGTTTCACAACGTCTTAATAAGACTCAAGGTTTATGTGATTTTTATCATGTTTTTCTTGATGTCATTTCTGAGTGGAGAAGTAAGGAAGGTGCAAGAGATTACAATACTCTGAGGGGTAATAGGCACCTAGCTTTTGCTAATATTGGTATATTAGTTCATGCAAGATCATTGTAAACTATTCAAGCTTATGTGCTTTTTGAAGAGGAGTTCATTAGGGGGACAGCTTATGATCATGTTGATAATGGTTTGCGTTTTCCAGAATATTCATATCTTCTTTGGAGGCCTGGGAAGGATATAATTAAGCATGAAGTTGTTTTTAATAAGGAAACACATGCAATTTGTTGCACATGCATGTACTTTAGTGAGACTGGTTTACTTTGTTCTCATTCTCTTCGAGTATATCATTTGCATTGTGTGCGTAATATTCCACAAGAGTATATAATGAAACGATGGACAAAGGCTGCCATGTGTAGTCATGGTATTGAAGAACCTACTTTGAAGACAAATGTTGTGGCTACTAGTGTTTGGAGGTCACAAACAATCAGAAAGTTTGTTAAGTTGATAACAAGTTGTCAGAATTCTTTGAATGCAAGGGCAGAGGTTGAGTGTTATTTCAATTTGTTAAAAGAAAAGGTTGAGAGTGTATCAGGTGTAATTGACTTTAGTGAACCTGTTAAAGAGGTTGAAATTGTTGATCTTGAGATCAAGAATCCTCCAAAAGCTAGGCCTAAAGTTGAGAGGAATGTAAGGCCTAAGAGTACCTTGGAGAAGCAGTGTAACAAGGCAAAGGGTAATTTCAAGAGGAAAAAGTCTATGTACACTCCTTACAAAAGGGGTATAGGGCAAGCAGTTGTACAGGTATATGATCATTTCATATTTTCAAATTGATCATTTCAATTTTCGTAAATGATCATTTATGTTTTTTTTTTAAATAGGAACTTGATGAGAACGGTTGTGCTGTTACTTATGTTAATTCTATTAGTGATCCCATTGAATTGATTGTTTTGAGCAATAAACGGGCTCAGGTAAATTCAAATGTGCCAAAAAAAACATTTTATTTATATTTTATTAATATTGATTTTTATAATTTAAAAATATAGGTCGGCTTAAAATCAGCTGTTGTAGAAGAAATTCCTTCTAGTTCTAAGGAATCAAATCATAGTATTTCCAATGATTTTGATCAAGTATGTTTGTTTGTTATTGATTATAAATTTATTTTATTTTTTGGCATTTATGATCTATATTATAATTTTTTTTTTATTTAATTTTTAATTTTTTATATTTTTTTTTGGTTTTTTTGTAGGCTACTGGTGAAAGCTCTCTTTCATTTGTCATATCTATTGATGTTGATATTTCATCTATTGCTAAGGTTTTTTTTTTCCATATTTGTTTGTATAAGTGTTTGTAACTGATCATATACTGGTTTATTAATGATTAATTTAATTTTTTTAAAGGCGAAGGATTTAAATCTTGAAGGTGTTTCTGCTGTTCAACCTCGTTCTAATGTTGGTGCAAATAAAGGTTCTTCTGGTGTTAAAACTTACTCTCAAATTAATCCAAGAGTTCCAATTCATACTAGTGCATCAACAAAATCTCATGTTGTTATTCAACCTACTGTTCCCAGGAATGTTCAAAATCAAACTCAGAATTGTTCAAACACCAATCCAGAAATGATCATATCCAACTCCAGGAATGTTCAATCAACAAATGTTCAAGTTATTTCTCCTACGGTTCAAATAAATGATCAAGGATTTCGTGTTCAGAATGTTCAAGTTACTCCTCCCACAGTTCAAAGAAATGATCAAGGTGCTTGTGTTCCAATTCTTCAATCAAGAAATGTTCAATTAGGTTCTAAAAAGATTTCTTCTAAGTATGATAGGTTGTTAGCCTTTTTTGATACAAGTGTAGCTAAACGTTTGGCTAATAAAGATAAATAATTAGTATTCCAGAACTTTATAAACATTAGACTTTTTTGTAATGTTGATTTAATTACTATTTTTTTGTAATTTTTAATTTTCGATCTATTATGTAAAAGACATAAATATTATATTTTATATAGTACTATTTTTAGTATATTTGAACTTTATATTAGAATTTTATATGTTTTTAAAATTATACATTTATCAATGATTATTTAGTCATTAGAATTTTATATGTTTTAAAATTTTACATTTATCAATGATTATTTAGTCATTTGTATATGAACAAAAGTAAGAACCAACATCCAATTTATAAAACTTATAAAAAACTTTCATTCAAAGATTAAAATGAAATATCAATTACAATAATATTAAAATAAAATATAAAAAACTTTCATTCAAAGATTAAAATGAAATATCAATTACAATAATATTAAAATAAAATCCATAAGCCTATTTCTTAAAAAAAAAAATAGTCATATATAAGAAATGAACATATACATAGTTGTAAATGAACATTTGAAACTACAAAGTTGCAAATTTTCTAGCTTTCCTTCTATTTGCTCTTGATTCAGTGTTTTCTTCAAATAACATCAGTTCTGCTGTGTATTGGAGCCTTAGATTTCTAATTTGTTCCACCTGTTGAACAAAATGAATTGTCAAATTTTAATTAAACAATCTTTACTGTTTCATAAATGAATATTATATCTTAAATAATTGATCATTTATAACTCTTACATTGTTTGGTTTTAAATCACAAATCCAGCTCTCATTAGGATCAGCAGTGAAGGTTTCCATATGCTTCATAATGTAAACTCCACAGTTTGTATAGTCATTGTTGCTACGCCATTTCATCTTTTCCAAAACAACTGTGTAGTCTTCAATTCTTTTTGCATCTTGATATCCAAGGTGTTTCATGTACTCTGCCAATCCTTTTAACTGATAGAAAAAAGAGTAAAAATTGTTTAGAAGTTTGTATTGTGATGAAGACATGAACAATTAATAAAATATAATTGATCATGTAGCCAACTATAAATGAACATATTATCTCACCATCATTTTTGGTTGTTCTTCATATTTTGCTTGGACTGATACCTTTTTTGGTAGTTTTCTATTGTCAATTATATGAATTTTGTCTTCTATATTATTGACGCACAACAGAAAAAAATGTTGAGAAGTTGATACTGGGAAGAAGACCTGAACAAATTATATAATGTTATTGGACAATATATTGAATGTAATTGAACATTTGTATTAAACAAGAATTAATACATGTTTATATCCAACAATGCTTTCAATTTTATTCAACTTCAGTTCATTATCAATTCTTTCTATGAAGGCATTAATTTTTGTCTTCATTGATGATCCTTCTCGACAAACTCTATTTGTGCACATAATGTGCTGTTGAAATAGAAACAAACATATAGAAGTTAAATGAATTTTTAGCAATTATTTATCATAGGAAAATAGAATCAATAATATAAAAAAAGAAGAAAGACTAACATGAAGCACTGTTGAGAAATAAATCTTGTTTCTCGGCTTTTTATGATTAAGAAACCTTGCCCATCCATCTATGACACAATTTGTCACTTCAACATCATCTCCAAGAGTTTTCATTTCATTTCTATTGATGAGATTCAAGCCATCATAGTATAAGAGTGCACTGCATTATGAACATTTAATAATATGAATGTGAACATATTTTTATAAAAGATATTAAACCTTAAGTTTAATTAGTGTAAGTAATTACCTTTCATCTTTTCCACCAAGAGCAAAGTCTACTGCAATTTGGTTCATGGCTTTCTCATCTTTAAACAGATCCTTGTACTTGACCAAGTAAGGAGATCGGAAAGCAGGAGGAATTGTTTGCTTTTCGCGTTTTGGTCTTGTTGTTCAATATAAAATATTGTTAAATTAAGAAAATTATGAGGAAAATAAATGAACATTTGAGTTTATATAAATAAATTTGAAATTATACCTTTCAACCTTTTCCTTTTCAGTTTTTTTCTTCTTTTCTGCAATTGACTTTTTCTTATCATCATTCCTGGTCATATTACATAACACAAATGTACATTTAGGTATATGAAAATGTTCATTAGTATTTTTGAACATTTACTTAATATAAATAATGTACCTTTTTGTGACTTTTGAGGATGAAGCAACAATCTTCTTGTTTTCACTAAAAAGTCAAACAATGTCAGTACATATTAATAAAATATAAGCTTCTTATGTAACACCCTGAATCATTTTCAATTCATAAAATGAAAGATATTGATTTAACATAAACCTATTGATTTAACATAAACCACACATTCATATTACATATTCAACAAAATAATGTTCACACATACAATAGTTTGAGAAACTCCAGTTTCAAGTTACAACACGATAGTAACATAAGTTAAATTGTTCCATCTAGATATTTTATCCTTACTAATTACATAACCCTAATAGTAAGACATGTCTTCAGGATTTTACCCCTCCACTTTTTCATCATTTTTTGTTTTCAAAAACATCTTCCTTGTTTTGTTTTCCACCTCCAACTGTGTTTTTTGGATCATCACTTTTTTCACCACCATATGACCTAGGGTCAGCATCAACCACTGAACCAGATCCTGCATCTAAGAAAAAATTTAATTAGATATAATATTATTTCTTTGTAAATGAACATTTGAGTATTTATAATTGAACATTATACCTGTTCTAGGCAATCCTTCATTATCTGACCTAGTGTCAGCATCAAATTTTGAACCAGTTGCTGCGTCTAACAAAAAAATACAATTAATAATGAATATTTCTTGTTTGTAAATGAACATTTTACACTTTTTAATTGAACATTATACCAGTTCTAGAAAATTCTTCAATTCTTTGTTCTGAAGCTGCTGAAGTTTTACCCACATCCTTTTCTCCAGCTGTATTATAAATCATCATTTTGGAGATACACTAAGTTAATAGTATTTACACATAATAATTAGAAATGAACATTTCTAATTAAGTTTATGTACATTATTATTAAATATATGAACATATTACCATTTGTTGAAATATTGGTTGTTCAATTATATCACCAAGTGTTGAAGAGGTGGGCCCTGTTTCTGTTTAGGACAATTTAGACCACAAATTTAGAATTTTTAATATAAAAATTAGGATATATAGTCTCTTTTAGTTAGAATTTACCAATGGCTGGAGAAGGTGGAGTCAACCCCAAGCTGAAAGCTTTTCTGATGTCATATTCTTGTTCTTTTTCCTTTCCCTTTTTGGTTAATTTCTTCCCAGTCATTTGCTTCTCAGTTGTTTGCTTTTCAGACCCTTGCATCAGATTCTTCTCAGCTTGTGCAAGTGCATTTAGGAAATCCTCACTGCCAAAGAATTCTTCATCTTGGCTTAGAATTGATGGTTCCCTAGCTGCCACCTTTCCTAAAACTTCATCAACTTTTTTCACCAAGTCATTTCCAGAGAAGATATCCTTTGCCTTCACCAATTTTGAAGAAAGCTTTGACAGGTTTGAACAAGTTGTTTTTACCAGGGAAACAAAATCATCCATAAAAACCTATATGAATGAATATTAAAAATTATGCAGTTGAACATTTCAGATTATACAAATGAACATTTATGTTAACAAAAGTGATCATTTTATAACCTTAGGACTTTCTTCAACTTCTGCAGCAATCCTTGGTAGAATTTTCCCTCTCCCAAATCCCAATTCTAATTCAATCTTCAACCTCTCAAGAACCATGTCTCTATTCCATGCAGATATGATAGGAATTGTTCTTGGAGGCCTTTTGTCTAACCTCTGAACTCTATCAAAATAGAACAACTACAAGAAAAAAGAAAACATGGAACAGAACATAAACAATAAAAAAAGTGCATTTATTTAAATTTAAATGAACATTTTGTATCTAAGAATATACCATCAGAAATTGAAGAGGGCCTTTGTAGAACCCCTTGCCTTGCTGCTTTCTCCAATCAACATGACATTTGATAAGTGAGTCATATACAAACTGACACCAATTCAAATTTTTTATGTTTTCTTTGTCCATCATAGAATAAAGAAATTTGAAATGGCATTGATTGTTTGATACACATTTCATCAAGCAATTCACAGCCACTGCTAAAAAGTTAGTAATGAAATGTTCACTTGGTGGTCTGTTGTTGGTGAATTTATCATTTATGTATCCATTCACAATCTGCAAACAAAATGAACAAAACATTTATACTTTTGATCATTTAATGTATTTAAAATGAACATTTAAAACTGATCATACCTGACTCACTGATGGAGTTTTTCCTGACCATGATTTTCTCCATTTCTTCAGAAATTCTGCATACTCCTCACTAATTTTATCAGACTTTGGCTCAACAATTGGAATTTCTCCTGTAGGCAAGCCATAAACTACCCTAACATCCTCTACCTCAATTTCTATTTTTTCATTCTTTGGTAGTTCAAAACACTGGCTATTTTCTTCAAAACTTCCCAATAACCAGTTACAGAACTTTTGATCAAGTTGAGGTAAACTAATGTCAAGAAGTGATCCTAACCCTACATCAACAACTTGTTGTTTTTGGGTAGATGTCATCTTTTTTATCCATGCAATGAACTTCACATGTCCTCCTCTCTTTGAAGATTTCTCTTCCTCAAATTCATCTTCCTGAATTTCCTCAACTTCATCAGTTTCTATTGCTTGAACCATTTCCGTTTTCATTTTCTTTTTTCTCCTACCTTCAATCTTTCCTTCATCATACAGTACCATATTTTGCTCCTCCTTTTCAACCTTTGCCTTCACTGAATTCCCTTTCTTTGCCTGTTTCTTCCTTGGCTTTACTTCTTCCTCTTCCTCCTCTTCCTCCACCTCATAATCATCCTCACTGACAGGCTCTGCTTCTGCTCTATAAACTGACTCTTCACTATCATCATCACTGTCAGTAGAACTTTCATCAGTAGGATCTTGAGAGGGTTCATCTGATGGTACTTCTTGTATTTTTTTTTCTCTTTCCAGCATTTCTCTTGGCAGGACTGGCATCTGAAAATTAAATATATAATTTTGTTTAAGTATTGAAAATGTACAGTAAGCAAATGATAAAATGAACAAAATTGTTTTCTCAAATGATCATTCTATATATAGAAATTGAACATTTATAATATATCATTATATACCTGCTTTTCTTTTGCCAGCAACCTTAGAAGTTTTCTTCACTTCTTCTGGAGTTTTCTTTTTCCCACCTATATATTGAAATTGAACATTAATGATATACCATCATAAATGATCATTCTATACATTAAGATTGAACATTTACCCTTTTTGCCTTGTTCTGGAGGATATTCAGCAGGAGCACCTGCCATTTTTTTTATTGGAGTAGGTGCTGGAGGTGGTGCATCAGCTTCCTTTTGAATAGGAAAAGTCCTTGTAGACATTCTTCTCTTCTGTCCTATTTTTGCGGTTTCTTTAGCAGGTTCAACATCCTTCTTCAGGCTTCCCTTTTCAGATTCATCTAACAGAACATCTATTGTTTTAAAAAAAATTTATGTTAGTATATTTGAAAGTGTAATATTTATTGTGTAACAGAAAAGTATTATGATTACCTTGGCTCCTTGTAATTCTACCACTTGGCACAACAACAAGGATTTTGTTTTTGTTTTTCCTTGCAACCATTTTGTATCTTGTTTTCATTTTGGTTGACTGATCACTTTTTTGTGATGATGGAGCTGTCTCCTCACTAAGTTTTGTGGAAACTTTATCATCATCTTGATCTAGAAGATAAGTTTCATCCTCAATTTGAACAAAATCAGGTGCAATTTGTGCTGCATATGAAATGATCAAATATAAAAGATTAAATAAACATTTATTTAAATTGGATGACAAATGTTTACTATATACAATATAAATGAACATTTCAGATAATGAATATGTACATTTTCCACTATTTACCTTTCGGATTCGTTGTCTTTGTAGACTCATCTTCCACTGTTTTCTCTTTAGGGATTTTCTCCTTTTCAGGCTCTTTTTTTCCCTCTTGTCCTTCTATGAAAATTTAATTAGTTAATATTTATATATTTTTTTAATCTTATTGAACATTCAATATTATGTAGATCCAATATGAACATTTATGTAATAAAAATGTACATTTATAAATTTTTACCTTCTACATTTGTTGTCTTTGGAAAGACATCTTCCACAGTTTTGTCTTTAGGGCTTTTCTCTTTTTCAGTCCCTTTTTTTCCTTCTTGTCCTTCTATTAAAATTTATTTAGTTAAAATTTAATTTTTTTAATCTTATTGAATATTTAATATTATGCTTTTCCAATATGAACATTTTTTGTAATAAAAATGTACATTTTAAAATTTTTACCTTTTTCCACAGTTTTCTCTTCTATTGGCCCTTTTTCTTTCTTTTTTGCTTCACCTTCAAAAGTAATAGTATTGTTAAAATTGATATTTACGACTATTAAACAAAAATATTCAATAAATATGATCATTTACCTTTCCTGATTTCCTTGCTTGCCTTTTCCATTCTTTTGAGATTTCTCATAATTCTGATTGTCGATTCTTTGTACTTCCTGTAAATGTATGATATTGTTATATAACTTTGAAATATATTCATTAATTGATTAAATTAATTCAATTATTTAAATTTAAACATACTTTGGGTTTCTCTCTATGTCTAAATGTATTTCTTGCATCTTGTCCTTTAATGTTGTTATTCTTGAATCATCTTTGGGTTTTCTGATATTTCATTAAAAATATGTTTGAATTTACAATTTTGATTAGTAAATAAAAAAATGAACATATAACTTATATTACTATTGGCCATGAGCAAACTTTTTTGTACTGATTTTCAAATGAACATATAGTCTATCTAAATTGAACATTTAAGTTTTCTTACTTTTGGCCAAGACTATTCTTTACTGGATTGCTTTGCACTTTTGGTTGAACTTCTTCTTGCTTGCTGAAATCAATATTAAGAAATACTTTAAATAAAAAATGCACATAAATTGTACACAAAATATACTGTTATAAAAATGAACATTTGTTTATATAAAATTGATCATTAGTATACCTTTCATCCCTACTCTCTTTGTCAGTTGTGTTATGTGTAGCAGACACACTCTTAGTTGTTGCATTAGTAGCAGGAATGTTCTCACTTTGTTCACTTAAAAAAAACAGAATTATTTTATATAATATGATATTAAAGTATGAACTAATTTATATAATGAAGAAGATAATTAGTTATTTTGGTATAAAGCTTTTATACCTTATTGTTTGATTTGTCTCTGGTGGTCTTGATTTTGACATAACAAATTTCACTCGAACCTTTTTTTTTTCACTAAAATTTTAAGAATTACCTAATAAGTTTGGTATATATATACAATGTACAATAATTGAATGTAAAAACAATTATTTTATACATATAAACTTACTTGTTTAAAGTGTATCTTTCATAACTATTACCATATTCATTTTGTTCTATAACCTTCTTTAGAGTTAATGGTTCAGATTTCCCATCTCTAAATTGAAGCAAGTGTATCACTCTAAATGGCACATCACTACATTATAAATTAATTACATGACATTAGTTTGAATGCATATCACTGAAATGATTATTATCATATTTATATATGTGCATGATGATTTAATGAAATGTATATTTGTTATTTAAATCTCAATGAATACTCAAATGAACAAATATACATATATGATCATAATTATATCTATAAATGAACATTATGAGTATCAAATATGATCATATACAATGATGTTTCAATGAAATGTACTTTTGTTTTTAAATCTCAATAAATACTCATATGAACAAATATAAATATATGATCATAACTATATCTATAAATGAACATTATGAGTATCAAATATGATCATATACAAATAACATATTAAACAAAGATAAAACCAATTTTTATCAAATACAACTAGCATATTAGACATGAACATAATATATTCTGTAAATGACTAATTACCTTGGTAGTGGAGACATTGTTAAATCCGTACCAATTGACTTGTCAATATCTTTTAAAAGTTCCGGATCTACAATTGGATCATTTTGGCGGTTTTTTTTCAATTTGTCTACTCTTGACTGAAGAGGTACATCATCATCATCGTCTCTGTTTTATTTAATAAATTGTTAATGTTTTAGTTATTTTCAGTAAAATCTTAGAACAATTACTACAATCGCAAAAAATTTTAACAAAAATTAGGTTTTACAAATAAATTCGCTCTATAATTTTCATCGCAAGAATATGAACAAATTAGGTTTTACAAAAGTTAGGGTTCATACATTTCTTCAGAAATTTTCAACAAATTACTCGTCTCTGAAGTATTCTTCTCCAAAATCATACTACAATTGCAAAAAATTGAACAAAAATTAGGTTTCACACATAAAATCGCACTATAATTGTCATCGAAAGAAAATGAACAAAATTACTTACTCTTTAGATACATTTTGCTCCGATTTTGCAGTTTCTTCTTGCATGTTCTTCTCTGTAGTGGTTTTTTGCAAAATCGCACTACAATCGCAACAAAATGAACAAAATTAAGGTTTCACACATAAAATTGCACTACAATCTCAAAAAATGAACAAAACTAACGAAATTACTTACTCTTTTTGTTGTGATTGTTTAATTTCTTCTTGAATATCAGACATTTGAAGCAATTTTGGAGTATGATTTTGTTGTGATTTGTTGGCTTTGATGAGAGAGAAACTCTAAAGAAATGAAGAAGATGGTGTTTAGAGAGAGAGAATGATTTGAAATTGATTTTTTTTTTTTTTATGTATATATATATTTGGGGTAGGGGAAGTTAGTTACTGCGGTTATTGTGGGGAGTGGGTAATTATTGTGGGTTAGTGAAGGGGGTGTGGGTAGTAACTCTAAACTCTGCGTTTAGAGGGAGTGTAGGTTGGGCTACCTACACTAGGGTCTAGTGTATACCAATTACCCCTTTAATTCCCTACAACCCAATTCACCACCGCCACATAATAACATCCTAACCAAAAAACAAAAATCCCCTTCCCGAAAGTAATGGCAGCTCTCTCCGTCTTCTTGTTCCTCCTCCACCTCTTTTTCTTCTACTTGCTACAATATCCTCATTCTCAATATTATTTTTGTTTAAAATAAATAGAATAGTGAAAATGAGATGTTTTGTTTTTATTTATTCAATTCCCCCTTCCCCTGTTACCCCATTTAATTTCAAGCTTGGGTTTTGATAGGGTTTCGATCCAGTGGGATTTCAGTCCGGCATTTCGAGGTCGAGGGTAGGTTTTTAGTGCGAGAGTGGGGGTTTTAGGGATGATTAGTTGGGAAATCGAGGCAGGAAGGTAGGGATTAGAGGTTGCTTGGTGGATTATGCCATGGGGATTGGGATTCCAGTGTTTCTAGGTAGTGTTCGGTGTGAGGGTGGGTGTGGGGTTGCTGTTCAAGGTGGTGGTGCCATAGTAGTTAGGGTGATGGATGGGTGGTGATCATGGTGGTTGACATGGATGAAGAGGGTGAGGTAGGAGAAGTGGGATTAAAATAATCATAATAATAATAAATTTAACTAGTAAAGCAGGTTAAAGGTAAAAAGTCTCATTTTGAGAAGACGAGATATATAGGTGGGATTATTTCTGAAATACGCAAAGGAAGGATTATTTTGAGAAGATGAGCCAAAGATGGATTACTATTTTCAATTTATCCAATACAAAATTTACCAAAATATTAGGTAAATGTCACTTCGTTGCAAATATTTTTAAAACCGAGGTAGTATAAATCTTGTAATATTGTTGTAGTGTCATGCATACAATTAAGAACTTTTGATTGTTACCACTATTTAAAAAACCCGATTTTGGCTTTTACCACCTACACTTTTATTTATTATATTTTATTTTACCACCACAAAAAAAACCAAAAATTGTTTTTTCACAACATGTCGTCAAGAACCTTTCATTATATCTAACGAAATTAAAAAAATTTCTTTGAAATTAATGTCAAAAACATGGTCTTTAGAGGTTTGGGGGTCATTTTGGTCCAAAAGGGTTTTGAGGTTAAAAAATTGACAAAAGATTATTGAAAGTGTCTCGTTTTGCGTGTTTCACAAAAATCGAGTTATTTTTAAGTAAGAAAAATGATGCATTTCTTAAAGTTTTTTTTTTTGTCAATTTCGACCTCAAATCGGATTCTTAAGGGACAAAATGACCACCACAACTACTAGAGACCATGTGTTTGGCATGAAATTCGAAAATAAAAATTAAATCGTTACATTTAACGGATATCGGTGGTGAATAACATTTTTTTGTGGTGGTAAAATAAACCAAGAAAAATTAAAGAGTAGGTGGTAAAAGTCAATACTCCCTCTGTGTTTTAATAAGTGTTACACTTTAACCGGCACATAATTTTAGGCAATTTAATTGACTTAAATATAATAAGAGATAAGTGGAATAGTTGGAGTATTATAAAATTGTAAAAGAAAGATAGTGGAGTTAATAATTTATTGAAAAGTAATGAATATAATGTGAAAGGAAAGAAGTAATAAAAAAGTAGTAGTGAGTTTGGGTTGGGACCATGAGTAGAGTGAAATATAATATTAAAATTTAGTTTTTTTCCCAAAAAAAAGAATGCAACGCTTATTAAAAAATGGCCGAATTTGATAAGTGTAACACTTATCAAAACACGACGGGAGTATCATTTTTTTTTTTTTTTTTTTTTTTTTTTTGGTAAAAATCAAAAGTTCCATAAAATTATATATTAAACTAATGGATGATAAGAACGATCTCAGTATGGCATAAAATTAATGATGATCTATATTAAATCTAACAACTTAATATGATTGTGGCATTATTTCTAAAATGATAAAAAAAAAATAGCCAATAATAACGTGAGAATGTAACATTAATACTGAGTACCTTATAAATCTGTATACTACACTAGTGCTTTATTTTCACAATACATGTATTGTTTTGACCTTTTGTACTAGTCATTTACTAACTTTCACTACATTTTTATCATATACAAATAAATCAAAATCATTTATTTAAAATATTGTTGGATTGGTCTCAATGTATATTTTTAGAATATTATTGTTGTACAATTTTTATAACACTTAATGCATACAAAAATTAATAGTCAATGTAGTGTGTTAGAAAATAGATTAGTCAAAACAATGCATGTATTATAAAATAGAGGTAGTTTAAATTAAAGTATGTATGATAAACTAAGATGATATAATATGACAACTGAATATGAACTACTCCCTCCATTCCATAATAATCGTAACACTAGGGTGTGTACAAAAATATTAGGAAAATTGTAGTTGGGTAAGAGAGAGAAACAATTAAAAAAAAAAAGTAGTGTAAGTGGGATTGGTAGAAGAGAAAAATAATAATATATTTGTAAAACTAGGGTTAGTGGGAGATATTTTAGAATGATATATAGTTGGTCCTTACCAAATAAAGATGTGTTGCAATTATTATGAAACGAATGTAAAAGAAAAGTGTTGCAAATATTACGAAACGGACGAGAGTAACAATTGACATTGCTACAACTCAACCAAACCTGCTTAGAACATGGTTTTAACCCGGCCTAAATTAATCTGAATCAAACTGACCCATAAGTTTTTTCCTCGATCCGAATGGACCCACCAACGAAATGAAGCCATTTTAATCCGACCCAGTTTGACATGCTACCCAATAAACCAGATCTATATAATCACCAACCCGATTATAAACTAAGACGACAATAACCCGAACTGACCCGAAAATAATCACAAATTGACCGTCCTTCTAGCTAAAATGGATCTGTTTCAATTCAAAACTAAAGTGCACAAATAAATTTAAACCGAATTAACCCGAAAATAATCAGAACCAAATTGAACCGTCCTTCAAACCAAATGAACTCGTTTCAAACATACCCGTTTCTAATCAAAACTATTTCCTCCTAAATCAAAACTTAGTTGTTAAATCGGATGGCTGTGCTAGACTTCACAATAACATACTAAAATTTTTTTACTGAACTGAACTTATTTTTATTAAATTATAATTGTTTTTGACTGAATTGACATTATTTTTACTTGAAATTATTTTTGTAAGCTAAGGCGAAGTGAACAAGGCCTAAGTTTAGTTAAGTAAATATAATTTTCTCGAGTAAAAATACAATCTATAACCATTAAGGCCCCGTTTACTTCGTTCAACTCACAATAATAATATTAAATAAATTAATGTTAGTTCAGCAAAAGTAATTTCAGTTCGGTAAAAAATAAGTTCGGTTCACTAAAAATAATTTCAGTTTAGTAAAAATCAGTAACTTTAAAGAACACATATAATAGAGAATTAATAAAATAGTTCCACTACAGCAAAAACTAATTTCATTTCGGTAACAATAAGTTTAGTTCAGTAAAAATAATTTAATTTTAGCAAATATAATTTCAATTCAGTAAAAATAATTTCATTTCAGAAAAAATAAGGTGAAGTGAACAAGACCTAATACTCCCCATGTTCCTAATGTTTAGCTCCATTGTAAAATATGGCTACAACTTTAAAATCTTTGTCCTTAAAATCCTCTAAATTTATAAGAAATGATATAGTCATGTGGGATTTTGTTGGATTAATCTCGTTGTATATTTATTTTTAATATCTATGTTTTTTTAATATTTACACGTATGAAAACGGAGATAAAAGCATTGTAAGACGTGTCTTGGAGACCATGAAAAGTCAAATGGAGTAAAATATTGACGAGGGGTGGAACTAGGTCGTTGAAGCTAATCCTCCCTCGATCAAACTAAATTTATAAACACTTAACAAACCTATATACAAGTATAGAGGCAAGTCAATGATCGAACCCAAATGAAACGGTATCGAGATGAATTAATTTTTGGAAAAAATTGACATTTACTACCAGCGAAAACACCCCGTGTTACATTTACTACCTGTTTAAAAAAATATTTTAAATTACTACCACAAAATTCCCTAACTGTATATTTTGCTACCACTTAACAGAATCCGTTAAGATTTCTTTAAGTGGCCATATTTCATTAAATAATAATTTAAATTATATAAAAAAAACTTTTAAAAAAAAAATCTCAAACACCTCCCCTCCCCTTCCCAGCGTCAGCCACCCTCCCCCTCCACTTGCTGGCAACCAAATGTTTCCCTGAAACCGGCAAACCCCCACCTCCTCCATTTCCCCACCTGCCAACCACCCCTAACCTCGTTGTCGGTGCACCAAAATCGTCACCTGCCCGCTGCTAAACCGTCACCTCCGCCGCGAAACTCCACCAAATTCTTCATCGGCGGCGCCCCGACCTTTCCCCCACCCTTACGCAGCCAACGAACCCCTTTCTCCTTCTTGTTGCCCCGACCACCAGCCCCAAACCACCAGCCAATCGAAACCCTAAAACTAGAAATCAAAAATCGAATTCGGAATCCTTAACCACCAGCCCCAAACCACCGAAATCGAAACCCTCGTTTAGGGTGGTTTGGGGCTGGTGGTTTAGAATTAGGGAGGGGGGCGATTTTCGGAGTGGGGAATAGAGAGGGGGGCGATTTCCTGTACGGGGTGGAGGTTGGGGAAGCAACAACGAGAAAAGGGGGGGTTGTCTGCGTAGGTGGGGGAAAGGGAGGGAATGGGGTCGCGCCGGCATGGGGGTGTGGT